CACCTAAAGACTAGAATTTTGAATTTAATAGTTTTATGCACCATATTCCCACTGTAACCACATTTAGATTAAGTACTCCAGATGCCTAGGGCATATATGTTTTCCAACTTGATCCACATTTGCCAAAGAAAAGCATTAATATGCAGTTAGGCAGTATTAATGACCAACACCTTACAGAGGAAATGCTGTAATGCAACACTGCAGCTTTGGAGTTTTGCTTTTGAAATGAAAAGTTTCACCTGTTCCAACTACCAAAGAAAGCTGGTTCATAGTCCTGCACTATCTGAAGAGAATCTTTCCCCAGAAATTTTTTTTTAGGAAGTCTTATTGTTACTGTTAAGTATCTTATGCAAATTGTTTAGAATGTCTCTAATATAAAAATTGTTTCTGATTATCAAGTACTCTCCACCTACACAGTGCGAGAAGTTACCATCTTCAGGCCTCTTTTTGCCTGGTCTGACATTTTATCAAATTAAGTGCTACTGTATTTCAAAATACAGAGCTCACTTGCTGCTGCCAGAGGAAAGTCAGAGAGACAACTGAAAATCTGGACAACTTTGTAATAAATTAATGGAGCAGTATGCAAATTGAGATGAGTTTTGCCATTATTTCTTAATGAGTATTTTAAATACAATGTATTGCTGGAAACATAACTACATATAAGTGTTCATCTGGTAAAAATAGACTTCTTGCTTGCAAAAAAGTTAAGTAGTCTTTTCTGAAATGTCAGAGAAAAGTATTTCATTACAGAAAACTAAAGAGAAAAGACCCTTTCAAAATAGGAATTTATGTATAATAGCAAATTATTAAGGCAACCACAGCAGCAGATTGCAAACACAACGGCAATAGTTCCTAGAGAAACAATTTCACATTTTTCTCCTTACAGTGCTATCCATATGAATAAACTGTTGATTAATATATTGAGCGTTCACAACACTGCAGATGGGTTTTAATAGTAAGCTAGTTATATAACATATGGAACAGAACATAATACTTCTGCTTCACTATCTCATATATTAGCCACTGCTGTAATACAGGCTGCCTGAAATGCCTGTCAGAATATATGATTTTTCATGGGAAAAAATTCTTACTGAGGGTCTGACAATAAACTTTTTAGCAAGTGGCCAATGACAACTCCTCAAAGAGATAATAGCAAATAACTGGGAATTTTACAGCCCTCATCGAAAGACATCATCTTTAATCAATGAGCAATACAATGCCCATGTCATTTTAATCTTACTACTACTAAGAACTATTAGAAATACTTCCTTCATTTTCAAGTCAGCAGCAGTAGATTGTCAATACTTCCCAGGCACAATAAGACATCTGTAAAGCATGTTTTTAACATTTCAGTGTTGACTGACTACATCACGTCTTCCCTTAACTGTATCTGTCAAGCCCCCTGAAGTCTACCACCTGCCTGCTAAACAGGGTGGATTAATATGACATTCTGTTGTGCTATTCCATAGATCATAGACCCATCAAAATTCGCAGTGAGGTCCTGCCCAGTACCTCCAGACTCCAAATAGTCTGAAGATGACTATTAAGGAGAATGCCACTCTTGGACTAAGAGATTCCAGCTGACAGACGCCAGAGATCTGTCAAGCCCAAGCTTTGCCACCTCTAGAGAAATCAGTAAAACACCACCCTCCCTTCCTCACCGCTGCAAAACGGCTAGAGATCGCACACTGGGGGAGATGGAGTCTGAGTCAATTTTTACTAACATACACCAGCTATTAACTTGAAGCAATGGTATGAGTATTTTATTCCTCTTCCTTCATCTATTCTCAAGCACTGTGGTAGCAGACCTGACACACCAGATATAATGAGACCAGCAGCGGTATAGGTGGTGGGATTATTACTGTCGTTTTGTTAACGTACCGCTCAATCTACAAAAGGAGCATACAGAAGCTCTGAAAAACAATCTGACCTTCATTTTTATGGACTCCAGTAAAACAAGAGAAAACATTATATTGAAAGAAAAAACCTGACACTGAACAACTAGGAAAATCTTGAATAGTAACACAGGGATCTGCAATAAACTTGCAGAATACGATCTTCCTGATTTTGTAACATGTGGCGCTGCTCCCAGTAAGACAAAGTACGCAGCACTTGCCAGTAATACAGTTTCTTGTTCAAAAGACACTTTCAGCAACAGCCGACCTGTACCTTTTAAAATACACACGGTTTGCAACAACTCTGCTGATAAGAGTCAACTGAGACAGTTTCTACAACTCCAATAGTTCAGTGAGGTCTTAAAGCAATGCTGCAATCTAACTCTCCCCCAAAAATTCCAATATAACTAATGCAGTATTTCCCTAAAGTTTGAATACATCTACAGGTAAGACCACATTTCTTAAATCAGGTTTTTGTATCTTTTTAACAGGCACTGTTTAAATTGCTTGGTCTTATGACCTGCAGCTAACAGAACTGATGTCTTTACAGCAAAATGCTGACTTGCTGAGTCTCCCTGCAGCAAGGGCAAACTTAAGTAAGTTCTTCATAATGCATTTTTTTCTTGAACCAATATAGAGAAGCTCCAAAACTCCACAATTTACACATTGTTCCAAATAACATAGTTGAACAAAGTGTACAGAGAAATTATAAATCACGCTTTTATCTTAATAAATAATTTCATACGTCACAGAAGTGGATGGACTAAGTGCTTGCTTCTAACTAGCTGCCCAGTGTCAGGAGTTCAGATGTTTTCATATTGGCCAAGCTTACTCCTGAGAAATGGAAATTTCCATTTGATACTTCCAAAGATATGAAAATGCTGTTGGGGGGAAAAAAAGCATGAAAACTGTGCCTCCTTACTTGACCTGTTTCCTTGGCAAGATTTGAGTTATATTTGCTAGTTTTATTAAGAAAAAAACCCACTGTATTTTAACTTCAGTAAGACTTCAGACACATTCATTTCTATGAACATTAAGGTCCTTCTTGGGTCTTCAAATCTCTAGGAAGACAAATAATGTTTTTGCTTTCTGAAAGGAGATGTCAGTATATCTTTCCTCAGGAAAGGGAATTTCCTCCACTTCCTATTTTGTTCTGCCATCTGTTTTGTACTACGATACAGCAAATATAGGGGATTTGTATTTTGTTCCTATTGCCTAAAAAAATATCTATTTTTTCTATCCCAGCAACCATCAAAAAAGTAGAAACAAAATCTGTGGCACATCTAGACAATTCTGTTTTCTGGTTTGAAAGAAAATCTTTAACTCTGGAATACACAGCAGGTGCAGCATTCCACTGGTCATATATTGGGCAGAGAAATACAATTTCATAAATAACTTCCATTTTTCTTCCATTTCTGAGACTAAACTTCAAGCTTGGAAAAGACCAATGCCTGTGTTAAAAAGCACACTCTGGTGCATGCTGTGCAATTTTAGCCAGTCTACTTCAGTTTTCATCTGCTAACTGCAGGTAGTTTTACTGCTAAGACCACTGCTCAGACAAAGCTGAATTTTGTTCCTAACAGTAGAAAAATATCTACTGTGAATAAACAAGAAATGCAACAGACAACAAAACTTACACTTGATAGTGACCTGAGGTGGCATTTTCTCAGTCAATGTTAAATTATTTCTATACCTTAGTGAATGCAGTATTTAACATACTTCTAAGAAAATCTGGATCAACAAATTGCTGCAAAATAATTTCAAAGGTTTTGAGGTTAGAGAAAAGTAGCGTTAAAATACCAATGTCCTAGTCAAATCCCTAATTTGATAAAATAACAGACTGGGGCAACAAGAGGCAAATTATAATCAAATGTGATCACATTGCAAATTAAAAAAATACTACTACATTCTCAGGAATCAGACTGAAAACACTGATGTCTATAAAACATTTCTGACAATGAATTGCCTACAAGTAAAGCTAAAATAGAACAATTATTCAAATGAAAATCAAAAAAGTCATCCACTTCTTTTACTCTCATTGGTAGCTGCCACTGTATGTTGATGTTTATTTAGTACAAAATTGATTTAACAGCAGAAAAACTTAGATGAACTGCAAACACCTTCAGTGAATCTCTGACCAATTAAGATGTCACCACAACAAGCAGAACTAGCACCATGAACCATGGAAGGAGAAAGCATGCTTTCTTCTGGAAGTACGTTCACACTTGTGATGACGAAGAGGACAAACGTATTTTTTTAACTAAGCGGTGGATAATACAAGTTTTCAGAGCTCAGAGTTGAAAGTGACCTGGAAAAGCTAACACCTATTCATTACAAAAGTACTTAAAGCCATTAAGATAAATAATTTCAATACTTACCAAAAGTAAATTATATCTGAATTATTAGTAATAGGAACAGTTTTCTTTGTGTTTTTCCTATCAAGCAGGTCTGTACAGACCTGAGTGTTTTGTCCTTCATCCTTTCAACAACAAACTGTCTTAAATCCCCTGTCAAGTTGTATGTGCTACACCACTGTAGTACCTGGTCCTATAACTTCATTATTTTGCTTCTCCACATCACTCAACATTTTTTGTCTATCATAACAACAAAACGCATACTGTACCTGCAAAGCACAGTTCATCATTCGCACAATGTAGTCAAACTGCTGATGGTCCAGTATTGCTCGGTTTTGTTTAACATGCAGGCCTAATTCCTGCGTCAAACACTGCCGAGCTGCCTTTCCTTTTAGGGCTCTCAGAGCTGCAGGCAGGGTCTGGAGACAAGAAAATCAAACTTTATGAAAGTGAAATTAAACGGTACTATTTATACTGAATATCATTCATTCTTGATTAATAAACTGCAAGTGACAGTATAGAAGAACTCTGGAAAAAACTCATTAGCTTGAATATCAAACTTCAACATAATGGTTCATTTAGCTTCAGTCATTAAGTAGTAAATTTTTCCCATGTTTTTTTCGAATGCATTACACAGCATTTCTCATCTACATCTGTAAATGTAAATTGTTGAATACAGACAGGCATTGAACGGATGTGAAATCAGAAATGGATTACTGTGCATGAAAGGAAGTGCTCTATTCTGTACCAGCCAGGCCATTCTCCAGTCAGCATATCAAGGCCAACCAGCATGTTTTTTGATAAGCAGTGAATGACAAATGGCTTTAGAAGTGGCATACCTCTCATAGCAATGAGGCCACAAGACCGTTAACGCAGTGTAACCTAAAACAGTGCCAATATAATATTTATGCCAATGGATTTGAAGATGCAGCAAGTGCTACATCAGTGGTTATCAACTGTGGCCCTTTAGACTAGATTTAATGGATAATAACACATAAATAAGAAAAGGCAGCCTATTGTCTAACGACAAATTTACCATGCAGGGTGCCAAAAACACTACTGAAATTTTCCAACTGCCTCTAAGTTGAAAGAAGTTAAAAACTACTCTGTTACACATGCATCAAAACTTTTTAAAAAGAGCTACACATTTTATTAGGACCTTTCCCATATGCATTTCTGTAACATAACTTTTACATGAAGAAACACTCATTTTGTATTTTGTGCTGCACAGCCTTGGAGATATATAGGTGATACTTTTCTGAGAAAACAAAAAAAGTCTTAAAATAATTTTACACTGATTTTCATATGTAAAATTAGATTTAAGAATACATTTGAGTGATTGTTCTAGAACCAATAACTGAAAACTCTACAGATAGAATCTACAAAACCTGGCAACTTCTTACTGTGAAAATATAAGATTGTCAAGGATGAAAATTCACTAGTACATTTTAATGAAGACAGACATGCCAAATATTTAGTCATCTCTGCATTCTATCAAAGTATTGATTTTTAAACCCAGCAAAATTTACTGTACTGAAATTTTCAGAAATGCGTTGGTTGGCAAACACTGAAAAGTCTATGTATTCTCCTAGACCAATATACACCCCTATAATGTGAATAATAGTATTTACAATGGTAATGTAAATTAGCAAGAAGGGCATCAACACACACATGCAGTATTACAAACAGGTTTTCAAATCCATTAGCTTCATATTACACACCATATTGCATTCAGCTGATCAGTTTTAGTGCTTACTTCATTCATTCAAATGGTTAGAATTATCATCAGTATTTGAAACAACTTCAAAATGTACTTTGTGACAAGGTTAGTCTCCACATGCTCATTAACAGAACAGAGGTTTATTTAGGAAAGTTAAAATTTCACTTTATTACCTTTTCAGTCTCCAAAAATTTATTTTCAAAAATGAACGAGATGCAGTTTCTAACAACTTCCAGTCTTTGTGCACTGTTGAACACTGTGCTTCCTTTTTCCATTATAGAAACTAACAAAGAAAAAGAAGAATACAAATCCGTGAAATGTCTTCTACAAGAGCCACAGTAAATACCAAAATATTCTTTAAAAAAATTATGCCCTTCATTTTGTTCTGTTAAGCAAATACCATTAGTAGGCATATGCAGATGGAAACATAAGATCCTAAATCTTTAATTTTCCTATACTATCTGAAAAAGAGAGTGCTCTGAATTTGAATTTTAACTTTAATTTAAAAAGAGGAGTTAATTCTCTTTACTACTTGTTCTATTCATCTCATACAGGTACAAAAAGATTCCAACCTTTAACACATTAATGAAATATATAAATAAATACAATTTATTAAGAAAAAAAAAGTATGTGTGTGTTCTACAATGAACTATGTAACCTTGCATATTTTGTAGCAGTAGATAAGTATTCTACCCTAAAGAATTCCTTGGCCATGCCAAGAATTCTGTGACATGGAAGAAACCTAACAAACCTGTTCTCTTATCAAAATTCCAATTTGCTGAGATCTACAGATTATTTTCTTAGTTCAGTGTTTCATTTCGAATTTTCAGGAAAATTCAGAATGGAAGCACTAGTATTCTCTTTTTCTGTTTATTATCAATTAAATAGAATATAATTGCAGAATATGCCCTTCTTGTAGATAACAATGAGCTCCTAATATCCAAGGACTTTGACACACAGGACAGCAGGCAGTATGAGTGGGAAAGCTGTTCCTTAAAAAAAACCCAACCAAACAAACAAAAAAAAACCCCACACACCACAACCCCAAAAAAACCCCCACCCAAAGAAAAACAACACCTAAACAATTAACTTAAGAAATAAAACCTTCTCTTGCATCTAGCCTATTAATTAAAGACAAGTGAACACAAGCACATACTCCTTAAATTTTCTGTAAGTTCAGATTCAGTGATACAGCCAACAACAAAGGCAGGTGAATAGAGTTTATCTGCTTACATAAATCCAAAGGGAAACAGGCCTGGAAGGGGCCTCAAGAGGCCATCTAGTTCATCCTGCTGTCCCTAGACAGGATAAACTGTATTTATGTTATTTCTCATTTTTGTCTAATATGTTCCCAAAGTTCAGTGATAACACAGACTCCATGGCCTCACAAGAAATCCATTCAACTGCCTCACAATCCTCATTTTACCGAATTTTTCATGACAAGTAACTACTTCTGGGCTGCAATTAAACCCATTATTTCTTATCAGCACAGATTATTCCCTTTCTTTTTTTAACAGCCTCTTATGTAATTGAAGACTGCTATTGTGTGTTCCCTCAGTCTTCTATTTTTCAGTCTAAACAACTCTCCATTTTTCCTCCTAGGTCACATTCTCCAGGCCACTGGTCATTCTTGTTGCTTTCTTCTGGATTCCCTCCAACAGAACCAAAAACGGAGACAGTCTTCCAGTGTCCAAAAATGGATACAAACAGTCTAGCTGAGGTCTTACTAAGTACAACAAAAGGATTTCTCCATGGGGTTCACTGACTGGACTCCTGTTTATACATCCTTCTAAGATGTTTGCCTTTTTTGCAATAGCTTGATATAGCTGGGACATGTTTGCCCCATGAGCATTACAATCCCCAAAGTAATTTTTGAAGAACCGTTGTCTGGTCAGCTGATCATGCCTATGGAAGTGTAATACCTTATTTGAAGAAAAACAGTAGAGAAGGACAAAATCCAACAGAGACTAGATCTCTAACTTTTCAAGATTGATTTGCATTCTAATCCCATGCGTAAAAAGTTTTGCCAGCTTCTCATATCCTGCAAGTTTACTAAGCATACTGGTTTACACCATCATTCACACTGAGGAATATTACTATAACGAACAGAATTTTTCTGGTGTTAAAATGAAATGGACAGGCCTACAACATCTACATCTGTGCTTCCTATTTAAATATAGGTGTATATATTTTGAGACCGAAGCTACGTTTGTTCCTTGCCTTTTTCCAGTACTTTACATGTCTTCCACTAGTGTCAAAGGAGAAACCCTAATAGTTCAAAGCTTTGTACAGCCAGTCCTACAAGTAACCTACAGTGATATTCATCAGACCTAGAGGAGTAGACAGTATCTAATTTAATAGTTCAACCTAACAGAGATCATATCTTTGGTTTTGTTACCAATTATGCTAGTCACACTCTTAACTTTTTAGCAAAGGCTGATGCAAAGGGGCTTTTAAAACTGCAAAGGTGAACAGGCAAGTCTGGGTACTAAAGTGTACCATGATGGCTAAAATACTGTATTAACATGAGACTGGGAATAATGCATTGCAGCCATGCTAATTACATATTCAACTCATGATGCAGGATGACAAATAGGTAAGTCAGGGAACAGGTGAACATACCAACAGGAGGACCTGCTGGAACGACGCACTTCTTGTCGCCCCGAGTGGCAGGAGGAGCACCCTGACTCCTTGTAAGGCCTTCCTGGAGGAGTTCCTGCACCCGGCACTCATTGATCCAGGGGAAAGGGAGTATGTGTACCCGCAAGTGAGAGCCCTCCGTGGGCCGTGGCACTTTCTGGAATGCTATGTGGGGATTGGGATTCTCCTGCAGGTCAGAAGCAAAAGGTTATACACAAATGCGTTAGGGAGTGTTACCAACTGTCTCAATTTTATTGTTTTGTGTATCTGTCAGATTAAGAAGCCAAGTATCTAATGCAGCCAACTAATATCATGTTTCATATTTATATCACCCTTGATTCATTATCTGCAATACTTCCAACTTTGTTAAAGGCTTTTATAAAATTATTTCTGGCAACATGCAAAATTCAAAAAGAAAGAGAGCAAAAGAAAATCACTGCTTAACTTAGGTTGATTTTATGCAGCTTAATGAATATTTAGGACTTGAACAGAAATTAGTCTGACAATCAACCTCTTCATTAGAGAGAGGGTTAAAGAATATTAAAACATCCAATCTCTTCACCGAGTACTGAGAAATGCAAATTCATTTCTGTACCATGTTGTATCAAACTAGGGCCATCCCTCATAAGGGACCAATTTTCCATCTTCTGTATGTCCCGTAAAAATATGTCACATGGGTCACTGCACAAAATGAAAAAAGTTAGTACAGGTGATCAAAACGAGTAAATGATGGGCCTAAACCACAAGGAAAGTAAAAAAGAGTGTCACATCAGATTTTGGGGAGTTCTCAAAAGTTAGAAAATAATTCCATTGTTGCAAAACTATCTATTTCCACTGTGAAGATAAATGATGTTTGCCTACATGATTTTTTACTCACTCTTTTACAAGTCTTTGTTTTCTTTTTCTTTAAAAGAAGATGTAATAAACAGACCCAAAGGAAGCTTTTATCCTTGCTTTTGGGTTTTCTTGCAGTGGTCTCCAGAATCCAAAAAATTAAAGTATCAATTTCACATTGCAGAACACTGACTTGATTAAACAGAATAACTGCTGCACTGTAATTATTATATGTGTGTTAATCTCAACATCACCCTGCAAGACTGAAGACATAAGCAAAATACGCCCTGTACCATACAACAGAGATGTGACTGTATATGGCATATTGGAAGACTTGCTCTGCATAGGCAAGTTCTGTTGGCATTTGTCAATACCAGGTGCAGTTATCAGAGAAATATCTCTTCCTGTATGTGGACATGCATCTTCTGCCTCTGGTGTTCAGCAGCCAGAAAGACCAGTTACCTTTTCCAACATACAGCTGAGATCTACAGGCTCCAGGAGGATTCTACCACAATTCACAGGATCACATCTCACATCACCGGGAAACTACAGACCTGTCAGT